GCTGCTGCTGCTGCGGCGGCGGCGGCGGCGCATGAGAAGCTGCGATTTGGACGCGACTGCCACTTGGGTTCCATACCGCCGGGCGGGAGCTGAACACACCCATGGAGTTAGAGGTAGAGCTGGAGGTAGACGCACTTGTGCCGTAGCCGGGAGGCAGCTGTCTCCTCTGCGGGGATTGAACGGGCGCAGCGTTGTGTTCGGATGGTGGCGGGACGAGCGGGATGGGCTCGAGCGGCCTGGAGAGGAGATCGGAAGGGTCGTCGATCTCCTCGAGGGTGTCTGACGTGTGATGCAGCTCGGACATTGCGTGCTGTACTTGGTCCATGGTGGTTGTGATAGCGGTCGGTGGCGTTCCGAGTACGGACTAGAGGTGATAACAAAAGATCCGGTTGCGGGAGCGGAAGTGATTGTGCGGCCGGGTGATCCGAACCTCGTGATCAGCTGGACATGTTTGCAGCGGCTTCAGCCCGGATTGCATCGATCTGTCGGTGCGGATGGCAGTCGCGCAGGAGTCGAGCGAGCCGAGCAAAGGAAGCCGCGAGAAATCAAGTGAGGATGGTGAGGTGGTGGGTTGAAAGCAAGCTTGAGGTCGGCTGCTCTGAATGGCGTATCCGCTGCGCGTCGGAGTGGGTTGGCAGCGGGAGACCAACAGTTGGCGGGCGAGCGACTTCTTCCTTCCTCCACTCGACTCTGACGCGGGTTGCTCAGCCCAAAGCGCAGATGCGCGTCTGGCTCGCTCGCTCTGGACCCTGAAGCCTCCACCCTTTCCTCGCGGTCTTCCGCTGCGCCCTGCATCACCCCCGCTCGTCAACTGATTCAGCCAACACGGAGGGACTTCCGCTGAGACTCAGCCACTCTCGGGCCTTATCGCTTCAAATGCTGCTTCTTCCTGCACGCTGTTGGCGGAAGTGCCGAGACTCCATGCGATTTGATTTGGGCGCGTGTGTGCCTGCGCCGATCTGTGCCTTTCGCGCATTCCATGCCCCTCATCATGTCCCCGTGGGCCTTTTCTTTTCTTTTTTTTACAATTCACGCCGAGGCCTTTCTGTCTGCGGGATCGATCCGATCCTCTCGCTTTTTCGCTGAGTCAGCCAGAATTGCGCACGGCACTTTTCTTGGCCCACGCCTCAATAATGAACGCCTCCTTATCGGCGGTCGGCATCGGATCAAGTGATCTCTGACTGATTCGAGGCCTAAATCGCCATCTGGACCGAAACGCAGCGCAAAGGATGAAGGTCTCGTGACCTGTCGGCGCCGCCTGTGCCGACAGAAGTGCAGTTCGCTGAAGGATCATGCAGGGCCACGAGGTGGTGGCCAGTCCGCACAATTGCCCGCTGCCATCCGAATCACAAGACCCTGCATTTCGCCCGCACGAGCCGGCACTTCCACAGAAAAGCTGGGAAAAAGGAAAAGAAAAAGAAAAATGGGAAAAATCACAATGATTTCGAGGGCGACACCGACGCCAACAGCCACCTTCCGAAGCTTCATCACGACCACGCATGGGAGAACCAGTGTGATTGCGAATGGTTAAATGAGACCTACGAATGTTACAGCACGCCGCGCAGGAGGAGGAGGCGGTTCTCGCACAGGCAGACGAGCGTGTCTTGCTCGACACTGTCTTCCCCCTGGGTAGCAGGCGCAGGAAGCCGGACGCTGCACACGCCGAGTAGAGCTCCACTGGCGGTGTCTTGACCTTCGTCTGCGGCTTCTGTCTCGGTGGGACCCTTGTCGACGATCGCACCCAGACGCACGACTCGCGAAGCAGCATGCTTGTCGCCAGCCGACGCCGGCGTGTTATATACGAACAGATTGCCCGCGCCCGATCCCACTGTACTGCCCGATCCAGCGCCAGATCCGGTCACTCGTGGTGCGCTCTCGAATGCCAGTGCCACGTACTCGTTGGATCCCTCGGAGCTGCTCGTAGGGCGCGCGTGGATGTGCACACGCTGCGCATCGCGCTTCGACGCAAGCACAAACGCCAGAGCCGGCATGGTCGCCACGTGCCGCCACGCCTCTGGCCCGCGCTTCGCAAAGACCGCCCCATCCAGCTCGTGCTTGACCGCAACAAGACCATCATCCTCTCGGTCCGACTCGAGACGCGTGGCGAGCAGCTTCATCTCACCCACACCCGAATGCCGGACCGTCACGCCGGACGAGGACAATGTGACGGAGGTGACGACAAAGTCGACTCCGACATTGGCGTCTTCCTCCTCGAGGTTGTCCTTGAGCAGGCTCGGCTGGTCCAGCGCTAGCCCTGAGCGGTCCTGACCAAGGCCCGGCGTGTCTTCGTCGACCGTGTACTTCTGCATGCCCTCGAGCATGGTGACTAGCTCGGACGGATCCAAGGTCTCGGGCACATCATCCTCGTTGTCCTCTGCATCCTCGTGCTCTTCATCTTCGCCTTGCTCGTCGGCATTCAGTCCCGCGGCGGTGCGCTCGAGCTGCGTCCTGGCTTGCTGGAAGCTGAGCTGGGTCTGTGCGAGTCGTGCGTGGCTGCGGGCAGGGGCGCGCGTGCTGTCCGCAAACACCTGCATCCACCGCGTGCCCTCGTGCTTCTTCTCCAGATGCAGCGTCAGCAGGCTCGCTGCACCGGCCCGCTCGAGCGTCCACACGCTGCCGGTCGCGTCGATCTCGCCCCACGTCGAGCGCGACACGTACCGGCCCGAAGCGATCATGCGCGCCGCGCGCGTCAGGTCGTCCACCTCTGCCTCCTCAGCTGCGGCACTGTCGCCGATCTCGGCGATCTGTGCAGATGATGAGGCTGTGAGCAGGGTGAGCGCTCCCTGGGTCAGTGAGAGGCTGAGAGCGCTCGGCGAAAAGTGGCCGCGGATGTGCGAGGATGTCATCCACGCCGGCAGCGCAAAGGCGATCGTAACCGTGTCGCCGGTCTGTGCCCAGCTGAAGTGCGGACCGGGACGCCTGCCCCGAGATGCTGCCGCCGGGACCGGCCTTGTAAGAGTCGTCCGCTCGAACGCGGATGTGGGCTCGATGACCGGCTGCGAGCTGGTTGCAGCGACAGCAGCAAAGGGTGCTTCTGCACCGAGGATCCACTCGTCCCCATCCAGCTGCGCGCTCAGCAGCGGTTCGTCTCCCTGTACGCTTCCAAGCACTTCTGCCGTTCTCTCGATCCCACTCGTTTCATCCGACTGCTCGAGGCTGTCGTTGATCTCGACGAGACGGACGTCGAACAAAGTGCGGGCGTGCTTGGACGTTTCATCGCGTGTCTCCATCTGGGGCTTTTCGTCGCTGCGAGCAAAGCCCAAGCCCTGCAGCCCGTCGCTCGTTCCGGTCTTTACCGCCTTGCTGACGGTCTTTGTGGTCTGCAAGAGCACGCGGATTGCGCCGCCGACGTGCGTGTGCGCCTTGATCGTCGTGCCTGCCTGACGCTCGATTGCTGGGATCTTGCACGACTCTGTACTCGCACTACTCCACCTGACCGCAGCGCCTTCTCCGAGTGTGATCTTTTGCAGCCTGATCAGCACGAGGTTCTCGCCATCGCAAGCCAGCCAAGTGGTCGGTGCGATCGAAGCCAGGGACGGCAATCCCTGCGTTTGTTCGAGTCGATGCACTGGGTGGCCCGTAATCTTGTCGGTTTCCGAGCTGTATGTAAGCAGCACGACAAACCGATTCGCGTCGATGTATCCCGCTATTGGGTCGTCGTGGTGCCTGGTTCCAGCGGCGGGGATGAGCAGCTGGTGCACGGCGCGTTCCTTGGTCTCCTTGTACCCGAGCCCTGTGAAGGTGAGACTGCCTTCGCGCCGATCTCCCCCCTCTGGCGGCTGATACAGCTCAGCCAGCTGTGGGGGACGGCTTGGAAGCACGTACGCTCGCGCGGACGGAGTCGACGGCCCGGCGTCAGCCGCGAGCTTGTACGCCTCGAACGCAGGGTGGAGCTTGGCCGCGTCCACATCGAGCGTTGTGCTGCTGCGTGAGGTCGATGCGCCAGAAGGCGGATCTGGTGGTAGTGGAAGACGGTGCGCATTGGCGTACGCCATGATGCCCTCAATCGTCGTGCCTGAGTGAAGACGACCTGGGCAATCGTTGTGGAAGAAGTCAAAGTGGAACGCTTGGAAGAAGCTCGCGGAGAAATGTTGCTTCGCGATCCGAGCCCGAAAAAAAAGGGCTACACCTCCACACCCAGCGAAGGCTGCAGTGCACCGTGCGCGCACTTCCCAATCTCACAGCTCACGGCTGGAACCACCAACTCAATCTTGCGGTTACATCTCACACATTGTTCGTTCAGGGGAGTGTTTGCAAGGGTATATTGCTACCTAGTGAAAACAGGAACAGTTGCACACGAGCCGGGGGGGACTCATGCTACGGGGCATGGCTACATCTACTTGCCGGTGACGCCCTGGACGGCGCCCTTGGCCTGGGCGGCAGCGTCGCTGAGAGCCTGGCTGGCCTGCTGGCCTGCGTTCTCACCAGCCTTCTGGGCCTCGCCGGCCTTCTTGCTGGCGGCATCAGCGGCATCGTTGGCGAACTGGGAGGCGGAGGCCTGAGCCTCGCCAGCCTTCTTGGAGGCGTCGTCGGCGACCTCGCCGGCCTTGTTCTGGCCGGCAGCGATGAGGTGGCTGACGTTGTCGACGAGGTTGGCGGCGGTGGTGCGCGCCTGGTTGACGAGGCCCTGCGCATTCTGCTCGGCAGGCTTGATGTACTGGTTGGCCGAGTCGAGCGTGTGCGAGGCAAGGTCGCGCGCCTGGTTGGTGAGGCCAATGAGAGTCTGCTTGGCTTCCTCGGCCGACTGCTCGCCCTGCTTGGCTGCCTGGTCGGTGGTCTTGGATGCCTCCTTGGCAGCGTCGTCGGCAGCCGACTTGGTCTGGTCAGCTGCGTCCTGGGCGTTGGCCTTGCCGGCGCCGAGAATGTCACCGGCGGTCTGCTGAACGTAAGCAATGGTGTCTGAGAGGAGAAAGGAAGGAGAACGCAAGGTCAGCTACTGTTCGACTGGGATCAATGGAGGGAGTGGAGGCTCGACTTACTGGAAGCAAGGTCGGTGGCCTGCTTCAGGAGCGAGTCGCCCTGCTGCTGGGCCTGGGAGGCGAGGTCGCTAGCCTTGTTCGACGCATCGTTGCCGAGCTGCTGAGCCTGCTTGGAGGCATCGTTGGCGACGTTCTGGGCGTCCTTGGAAACGTCCGAGGTGGTCTTGTTGGTACCGGGGATCTGCGACATTGCTGTGATGTTGCGGTATCGAAGTGGGTGTGAGTGTTTCGATGTGAAGTTTGGTGCGTGATGGACGTGTAGTGCGAAGATCGGTGTGCGAGAGATATAAGTATCTTTCCTTGGTGGCGGATTGCAGGGCTGTGTTGGCAGTTTGACAGGCGAGCGGCGGGCGGGTCCAGGCTTTCAACCGCGATCCTTGGATGGGCTGCTTTGGGGCTGTTGGGACTGAGCCTCGTCGGTAGAATGCATTCATCGGAGTGGGTGCGAAGAATCCGTGTCCGTGCGGCGGGCTGGCTTGGCTCTCTCTGCGCGCGCCGTGTAGATTCGAGTGCTGATATGACGCAATTACGCGTGGGCAGTCGGCTGGCTCAGCGGAGCCCGGACCTTTCTCACGTCAATCCGCCGCCGTTTTCAGCCGCGGAGAATCGCAGCAGCAAGACGCCATCTCACATTATCCGGGGCGCGTGCTGCAGCCGCTCATCATTCTGCCGCTCGTCGTCAATGGCGTCCGACAGCCGCTGCAACCTCTTGAGGCGCATGCCCCCCCTTGGCGCGCCACAAAATCGTGCAGAGAGTGCCAGACCGATGTAGTACAGTGAACGATCATTGTTCGGCAAGCACTCGGCGCTGCAATGCAGCCTTCGCTGATACATCCTTTTGCGATCAAGGCCTTGCAACGTGCGCAGGAAGCTTTGGGAAGAAAGGTGCTGAGCTGTGGTAGCGGTGACTCGCGAGTTGCTGCACGTGAAAATCTGCACGCTGGTCCCCAGCTGCACGTCACCGAGAATAGAACTGCACTCCGGCGCGAGACTTTGCTATTTTTCGAGCCTCGAGGGATGCAGGAACTGCGTATCAAAAGCGCGCCACGCCGCTGCCACACCTCGCATCGGCAAACGTCAAAACTTCCCGAGGACGGCAAGACCGCAAGACACGTTTCGGCCTTTGCCCGCCCCCAGCGTTCCCACAAAGCAGCTTCCATCAACACGTTCGACAAGCTTCCAGCGGACGTCCTTCCAGCTGATCGACATTCGGCATAACCGGCGCGCATCTCCCCAATCCGACCCCGTTCACGCTTTCATATGCACACACAGAGACCCTTGGTTCTTCATCTTGTTGAGTAATGACATTTTCTATGAATAGATCGTCGCCAGATCTACTGCAGCAATGCAAGGTCCTTGTCATTGGCGCCTACACCGAGCACCTTGCACGCCAGCTCAAACAGCTTCTGCTGAGCCTCGGTCCACTCCTTGCCCGGATTCCTGAAGCTCGCCTTCATCAGCCGACCCAATCCTTCGCGCAGCGTCTTGAGCGCCACAAGCGTCTTGGGATCCGCACTTGCAATCCGCACCCTCTGCCGGTCAATGTACAGACTGTTGGACGCAAGTCTAAACTCGCCATCCCCACACAGCATGTACACCGCCTTATCGTCCATGAGCCCCGTCTCCCATGCATACAGCTTCTTGCTCTGCATCATGGTGTAGTACAGCATGTAGCTGCTCGCCCCGCGCACCAGCTCGCTCATCTTGACCCGGAAATTCACCGAAGACGGATGGATCGACGTCGGCTGGCTGTTGCCGATCGTCTTGAGCTGGAACGTCTTGGCATCGATATGCAGCAGCTTCGGATACAACCCCGCCGCCAACGTCGCATGGATCATCGACAGACTCGACGAGTTGACGTCGAGCTCCGCCGGAATGACCATGAACTTGGGCTTGCCATAGTTCGCGCCGCCACTGCGGTAGCGCAGCCGATTGAGCTCCTGGCGGAAGCCATCGTCGACGCTGACAAAGCCGGCATCGATGAGGTACGAAAAGTACTGCTGGCGCAGCTCTTCGATCTGCAGCAGATTCTGGATGCTCAGGAAGCTTCGGCTGCAGAACGTGCGGTGGTGGTTCTGCACCGTCGAGCGCCGGAAGCCGTTGAAGGCATTGGCGATCGTCAGGAAGTCCGAGTCGCCCAGCTTGAAGCTCTGCTTGGCGCGATCCGCCTCGAGCTCTTTCCCGAACGGCGTCATGAACGGCGACTTGGAGTTGAGCGCCGCCGCGATCGTCAGCGCCGGATCCAGACACTTGAACAGCGTCGCCACCAGCAGGAACTTGCCCATGTGCACGTCCAGCGGCATCTTGGACAGGTGCCGCCCCAGGTGCGTGATCTCCTCGCCCGACGTGAGCGCCTTGACCTCCACCAGCGCCGCGATGGCCCGCTGCACGTTGGCCGCGCTCGGCGGATCGAGCGCCTGCGACAGCGCATGCTCGATCGAGTCGCCAATCTTGATCTTCATGATCTTGAGCTTGAGCGCCAGATCCTGCAGCGACAGACGCAGCATCTCCGGCAGCGGGTGCTCGTCCAGGTACGAGTCGTGGCGGTACTTGGTGAAGAGGTGAAAGCAGATACCTTCTTGCACACGGCCCGCACGTCCGCGTCTCTGCTTGGCGTTGCTCCGCGCAATAAAGCACTCGACCAGCCGCGAGATCTGCCGCTTCTCGTCGTAGCGCATCTCACGGTGCTTGCCCGAGTCGATCACACAAGTGATATCCGGGATCGTAATACCCGTCTCGGCGATGTTGGTCGCAATCACGATCTTGCGCACGCCTGCGGGTGGCACGTTGAAGACTGCGCCCTGGTTCTCGGACGAGATGGTCGAGTGCAGAGGGAACAGCTGGAAGCCCGGGCCACCAAATGTCGGGTGGTCCACCAGCATGTCGTGGCACTTGCGGATCTCGGCGAGACCTGGCATAAAGATGAGCGTGGCCGCACTGTACGGCTCCAGGTCCTTCTCGAGACACACGCGCTCGAGGATCTTGATGATCAGATCGTGGTTGATCACGTACTCGTTCATTCGGCCCAGCGTGTCGATCGTCTTGCTTCGGTACGCCTTGCCGAGACCGCCCGTGCTCGAGCCACGGCCCTCGGGGTCCTCGTCGTCATCGTCGAGCAGAGCGGGGTCGTCCTCTTCTTCCGGCGTGGGCGCTTGAGCCAGTAGCTGCAGCTTGCTCTTGTTGCCCGGCGCGTTCTGCTTGCGTGCGCTTCCATCGCCTTGGCGGTAGCCGCGCTTGGGCCGGAACGCGTAAGGCGAGTCGTCTTCGATGATGTAATCGCTCATCTCGACGGCGTCCTCGAGGTAGTGGACGTTGACGGGGAAGGTGCGGCCTGGCACAGCGATGGTGGGGCAGCCACCGCAGTACTTGCTGATGCGCTCTGCGTCGACCGTGGCCGACATGAGGATCACCTTGAGGTCTTTGCGGTGCGAGATGAGCGTCTTGAGGATGATGAGGAGGAAGTCTGACTCGATCGATCGCTCGTGCACTTCGTCGATGATAACGTGCGTGATCTCGTTGAACGCGGTGCCCTCGAGCATGCGCAGAACGATACCGGTCGTTGCGTACACGAGGCGCGCATTCTTTCCGACGTTGCTTTCGAGACGAATCGCGTAGCCGACCAGGCTGTCGTTGCTGCCGACACTCTTCCGCGGCTCGCCAAGCTCTTCGCTGACGCGCTCCGCCAGCGAGATGGCCGAGATACGCCTTGGCTCTGTGACGTAGATCTTGCAGTTGCGGCCCTGCGACATGCAGTGCTCCAGGATGTAGGCGGGCACCTGCGTCGACTTGCCGCATCCCGTTTCACCGCTGAGTACAAAGATCTGATTGTTCTCGACCAGGTCGAGGATCTCTTGACGATGGTTGGCGATGGGCAGACTCTGGCGGCCAGGGAGCATCTTTTGGTAGGATGGCGATGCGACACGGTTGGAAAAGTAGTCGGCAATCTCCTTGGCCCTCGTCTCGGACGGCTGCGGCGCGGAAGCCGAAGACAGCTCGCCGAGCTCGGTCTGCTCTGTTGCAGCCGTGTTGCCGTTGACAGGCAGTTTGGCCTTGGCCTTCTTGGCGGCAGTTGCCTCGTCCATCCGGACACGGACGACATCTCGGACACGCTGGAACCGAGTTCGACTCTTGCGGTCCCGCTCGTCCTTCTGCAGGGCGGTGAGCTCCTCCCACCACTCGCGGTATCCGGGCGGTAAAGCACGCTGGACAGACTTGTCGCGGTCGATGCAGAAGAGGGCGACGGTGGCGACAAAATCATCGGCCTGCAGCTGGGTGGCACAGCCGACGGTGGTGAGCGTGTACTCGTCGACGTACGTCGGGCTACCAGAGGTGATCGGGTTCTTGTTGGGGACCACTTTGCCTCCGTTCCAGCGAATAGTCAATTTGCTGCGATGAAGACGACCGCCAGACGGGATGGCAGTGAATTTGTAGGTCGAGTAGGCGTCGGCACGCTTGAGTGCATCGGACAGCATAACGCGAGGCGTCTTGCCGCCCCCTCCGCTCTTGGCTCGCGGCGGCAGATCACGCATGGTGATGATGAACCCCGTGTCGGCGTCCTTATCTTCGACCGGACCCTCGTTGAGCAAGTCGCCAAAGAAGCCGCCCTCGTCGTCGGAACCGGCCTCAGACTTGGCGTCGTCCTTTTGCTTGTCTTCGTCTTGCGAGTCTGGCTTCTTCTCTGAGTCTTTCTCGTTCGCGACCTCGGGGGCCTTTGGCTTGTCAGCGCCAGATTCTGCAGCTACATCCTCTGTGGGGCTGGAAGACTCGAGACCGGCGGCTGCCTCGATCTCGCGGCGCCGCTGCTGGCGTTTCTGTTCCTCTTGCTCCTCGGCAGCCTTGAGCTGCTTCTCGATCTCCTCGCGCTGCCTGAGCACTTGGCGAAAGCCGTCCGTGGCGGTCTTTTGGTCGAAGTAGGCGCCTCGTTCGCACTCGCGCATAAAGTCCTTTGTGCGGCCGAGGACGCGTTCGAGCCTGGCCTCCTCCTGCTTCATGTGTACGTCGCCATCCTTGCCGAGCTCCTTCTTCCATTTCGACTTCTCTTGGTCGATTCGAATCTGCATGGCTCGCAAGAGTGACCATGTCGCCGTCGGCTTTTCGAGCGTGTCGATCTGATCTGATTCGAGGTCGTCGCTGAGCTGCAGAACGAGGCGTTCGCACGCCTTTTTCAGCGCGGCGAGCTTCTCAGGGTCGACCTTTGCTGTTATGGCTGCGGTTGCTGGCTTGGCTGACGCGGCAGGGGTAGGTACGGATGTAGCAGCAGACGAAAGAGCAGCACCCGGCACGATCTTTCCCGAAGGAGCCTGTTCTGAGCGGGCAAAGTCGTTCTTGCCCAGGGCCTCGGATCGGTGGAACTCGTAACCTGCATCGAGGGGTGGTCTGCTATCATCGTACTCCTCGTCCTCGCCGTCGTCGGCTATGTCGTCAGCCGCCCCGGTAGTATCTTTGCCGCGGCGCTTCTTGGCCGCCTTTCCCTCTCCTGCACGAATGGCGTCCTCGAGCGACTCTTCGTCCAGTGATTGGTAGAGATGCGACAGACACTCTTCAACGTCAGGAGCGGCGGCGTTGGCGAGCGCATCCTCGGCTTGGGCGGAGGTGAAGCCGAGCTTGAGGAGGAGCTGATAGGTGGTCAATGCTCTTGTCATGACTTTGTCTTGGGACTCGGCCCATGCATTGGAAGATGAAGCGGTGCTAGACGACGAGCTGGCGTTGCCGACCGAGACCTTTTGAAGATCTTTTGTCAACGTGGCCATGGCAAGCGAGGTGTGCGACGAGGCAACGCTGACCGGGGTGGCGCTGCCGGAGACGGTGGTCGTACCTGAAGCGGTGGAAGCGGGTGTCGATGCCGAGTCAACCGCATTTACTGAGCCCGTGGACGCGTCTCCTGTTGCATCGCCCTCTACTCGAGCCTTGGAGCTGGACGACGGCTTGTGAAGCTCGGCGGCGATCTGCAGCACTTGATCGCGCAGCTCGGGCTCCATCTCAAAGTTGGGCAGCGTCTTTGCAAAGCGACGGTCATACTCGATGGCCTTGTGCTGGCGAGAGACCTCCTTCTCGACGCGGTCCTGGAGCTTTTCGACGAGATTCTGAAGAGCCTGCTCCTCCTCCTTTTCGGGGTCGTAGAAGTCGGTTTCGGTGCGCTTGCCGTCGTCAGCAGGTGTATTGGAGCCGGACAGATTATCGGCCAGGCTCTGATCGTTGGCCTTCTCGTAGTCGGCTGCGGCGGCCGAGGCAGCCTTTGCAGCACTGGCGGCGGGCTTCTTGGCAGCTGCCGGTGGAGGGTCCTGCACCTTTTTGGGGGTCGAGGTGGTGGCATATCCACGCTGGACGGTGCCCTTGAGCGTGGGCCTCTTCTTTCCCATCGTGACCAAGTGTGCGCTTCGAAGGCGCGGGTCAGTGCCTGGTCGATGGTGCTAGATGGTGTGCTGGAAGATGGGGCCAGAGGAGCATGCACAGTCCCGACGTCACACGAACATGCAACTCAGCCTGATCGGATCTTGACTTTCTTCCTCAAAGTCACACGAAATTCACCGCATCGGCTCCACATCCTCGCGTTCCAAAAATCGTAGAATGTTACATCGCAAACGCGTGCGAGCTTCGTGGCCGACATCCGAGTCTTTCGTCGCGGTGGCTTGAGCAAGGCGGCTCGAAGAGCGCATGCCGGACTAGAGATGCGCATTTAGGGTCTGCTGTCCGCAGCAAAGTCGAAGCAGCTTCAGCAGACCCGAGTCCTTCGCGACGATCCTCCGACTCCCAAACGCTATTCCACACCCACCACCGCCCGTTCGCTATGGCCGACGATCCGCGTGCCGATGCGGACGGCTCTCCTGCCAAGGAGCAGCCGTCGCAGCCCCCCGTCCTGCAGATCGTCAGATCCAACGCATCCAATCTTCCACGCAACCTTCCCGTCAAGCGCTACGATGGAGACCCACTCGGACGCGTCGAGGTCCAGCATGCGCTTCTCTGCCACCTCTTCTCCGACACGAGGAGGGTCTTCACCAATCCTCGACCTGGCGACCGCTCCACGGCTTTAACGAGCGGAGCAGGCTCGGCGGGCGTGCCTGCACCCGTCTACCCTTTCGGCATGTCGGCAGGCTGCGTGAGGCGCAGCGGCGAGACGGAGGAAGAGTACAACCAGTGGCAGGAGAACAGACAGCGCTATCTGCTGTGGAAGAAGAGGCTCGATCGCAAGCGCAAGCTCGAACGCAAGGCCGCTGCCGCTGCTTCTGCCGAGACCGCAGGCGACAGCGCAAACGATGACGCAGATGCAAACAACGAGGAGAAGGACGAGCTCGCTGACGCGGGCAACGAGGAAGATGCGGCTGAGCCCAAAGCCGATGAGGGCGATGAAGACGAGGATCTTGGCGATCCTAACGAGCCGCTGGACGAAGACGAGTTCCCACAGCCAGGAGCCGCCAAGCTCACGTTCAAGGAGCTCTACATCGAGTCGTTGCTCAACAGCAGCAAGTGCACCAAGTCGATGCGCGACAAGATCCTCGCCGACGAGGAGTACGCTGAGGACTTTGCCAAGGTCTGTCTGCTCGTCAACGTCGGCCGCATCAACACCACGCTCGCCTTCTACCCGGAGATGAAGACCGTACTGCGCTCCTACCACCCGCTTCCGTCGCTGCAGAACAACGAGAATACGAGGCGCAACATGCAGGATGCACCGCGCATGAAGTCGCTCCTCAAGGGCGTGCTCATCGATACCGAGCGACCCGCGCCTCCCACCGCAGGCCCCTCGGCAGGCCAGCCCGTCAAGGCACAGAAGCCCAATGCGCTCAGCGAAGAGGCGCCGTCCGACTTTAAGGAGGTCATCAAGCGCTTCCGTGCCGGCACCGTGCCACCCACGAGTGTGGTCACCCTCATCTTTCTGCTGTCGCTCCACGCCAATGAGCTGACGGACATGCACTTTCCCGTGCCGCACGACTCGCACTCGCTCTTCTATCCGCACGCCGACCACCCGCTGCCGTCCAAGCAGCGCGCAGAGGCGTTCCTCTGGCTTCTGTACCACTACCTCGAGGGCCCCGCGACGCGGCCGCCGGGCGAGCTGCCCAATCCTTTCGACGACGAGACCTCGCTCAACGCCGCCAATGACGCGGCGGATGCATACGCGAACCTGCTCACGGACGAGGAGCGCAAGAAGCGCGCCAACCAGCCGTGGAAGGGCATCGCGAATCCGGCGTGGAAGAAGTGGAAGCAGGCGCAGGAGCTCGATGGCGCGGCGGATGACAAGGTCAAGAAGGAGAACGGCGACGAGGGTGGCGAGGATACCAAGGAGCCGCCTGTGTACCTGCATCGACTGCTGGTGCCGACGTTGCAGACGGTGACGCCAGAGGAGGCGGCACTGGAGAACGTCAATACCGAAGACGAGATCAAGTGGGGCAAGCAGATGCAGTCGGAACGAGCGGCTTTCCTGTCCAAATTCCAGGAAGAGGAGGCGGCCAAGAATGCCGCGTCAACCGGCTCACCCGCTCCCTCGACCGGTGGCGCCAAGAAGGGACATCGCATCGGTGGGGCTGCATCGGCAGCTGCTGATCGCGCCTCGGCGGGCGATGCCGACACCTCTCGTCTCAAGCGTCGACACGGCGGTGCTGCAGGTGACGTCTCCAAGCGGTCCCGAATGGCGAGTCCCATCGACTTTGACGACTCGATCTCGGACGCCGAGGCTGGAAGTACTGCGATTGCGACATCGGCGAACCCGCTCACGTCCGATCCGTACCTCAACGCCAACGTGGCGATTTCGGACCGGATCCGACCTGCGCTGTGGGATCTCGACCTGAGCGTGCCTCCACAGCATCGCAACACGGAGTCGCTGCCGCAGCAGGCATGGGCGCGCATCCTGGAGCGTGCCCAGCGCGGCGTAGGCGATGCGTGCTACGAGAGCGACGAAGACGACTTTGCCCTCGAAGAGGCACAGGAACCGGAACGCAGTCGCGCCGAGATCTGCCGCATCCTTACGGGGCTTCGTGGCGTGGTTAGGCACGATGTGTTTGAGGCGGATAACCACGCGGTCAGGCTCAAGTACGGCGGATACGAGCAGGAGTACAACAGCAACGAAGGAGCGCTGCTGCCGTATGCAAAGGAGCTCGAGACGAGGAGCAACAGAGTCGATCTGTACTCGAACAGCACCCCTGTAACGGGAAGGAGGTATGATGGCGATGACGCGGCGAGGAGGACCGACGACGTGGACGATATCGAAGAGGCTCTGCTTGGCGGCGAGGCTGAGCCCCGACGAAGGAGCGTCGCACGTAATGGGTACTCGCCTGTCCATGCGTAGGTCTCTCACGCAATGCCAATCTTCACGTGTATTCTCAGGTGGCCATCCCGACTGAAAAGAAGCGATGCTAGATGGTGCTATTGAGATTCGTACAAATACAAGTGAGGTTGGGACGATGCTGAGTAGAAGGAGGAACTACTTGGCCGACTTTTTCTTCTTCTTCTTGGCCGGCGATGAGGACGCGCTGTCCGTCTCTTTCGCGGCGGACTTGGGAGTCTTGGGCTTGTCGTAGCCCTCGAAGGGGTCCATCGCCGGGCGCTTCTTTTTCCCCGCTGGCGTCGTCTTCACCTCCACTGCGGCGTCCTTCTCGGCTTCCTTCGTCTCCTGCTTGGCGGGGGATGCATCATCATCGAACTTTGTGTGCTTTCCCGGCGTGGACCCTGGTTCACCAGCCAGTGCGGCCCTGATGAACCTTCCCGCCGCGCTCTTGTCAACCCTCGACCCTTTCTGCTCCTCCTTGGGCTCCTTCTCGTCGTCCTGCACGCGCTTGATCTTGCCAAAGTAGCTCTTTACGCGTTCGAGCTCCTGCATGACCGGGTGGTTGGTCGGGTCGACGCCCTTTGTCTTGAGCAGGATCCACACGAGGTCCATGAGCACGTAGGCCACCGACACCTGCATGCGCGCAGCATCCAGCCTCCCGTGCAGTTCATCCTCTCCCTTGTCCGCCGCGTCTGTCTTTGTCGCTGCGCTCGAGGAGCTGTTGGCCTGAAGCGCGGCGTTGAGTGCCTCGTAATTGTGCGCCAGTAGCGGCTGAAGAATCGTCGAGAGCTCGGTGAACGATGCGCTGAGCGCCTGCAGCGTGGGCAGCGGACTCTGCCGCAATGATGACATGGCTGTAGGCCAAAGCGTCGAGGTTAAGCGTTGCCTTTGTGACGTGGCGAAAGAACAAAGGGAAGGGGTGGCAGCGGATGGTGGAGTGAAATTTTGGAAAGCCGAGGGAAAAAGCTCCAAGCCAAAAAGTTCCGAGTGCCGACGAAAAAACGCGTCTCGCCCGAGTGCTGCAAGAGGCCGTCCTAGACTCCGACGCAGAGCCATGCAGCCGAAGCTGTCACAACCTAATCCAAGAGCGCCGCGTCCCAAATCACACCTCCCCTTTGTTGTCGGATGCGAAAGGGCGGCAATCTCGAGCCAGTTGTGCTTCAAACGCGTCTCATCCCTCCGCATTGATGCGGGGGAGGTGGAAAAGGTTCATGTGATGCGGATAGCGTTCTCACGGTGGTGAAAAGACAAAGGGACGAGACAAAGGGACCTACGGACGCATAGTTGGCAGGCAGACCGGTCCAGGTGCTGCAGAAGACCCCATCTGTGCAGCTGAAACGCCGAGCCGATTCCGCTTTCCCTTTGTTCCTCCGCACTTCCTTTGCAGAAGCGGCGGAGGCCTGAGTCCAGGGTCGGAACCGATGGTGTGCAGATTGAGGCGTGAGAACAAAGGGGACCAGCACGAACCCACTTTGCTCATTTCGCAGCTCTGCCCGCAGCCCTGAGACGCTAGCGAATCCGTGCAGCCGCACCAAATCTAGGAACAAAGGGAAGTGCCTCAACCGAAGGGGCCCGAGCATCGTCGTTCCCTTTGTTCTCTTCCCCCAGCATGAAGTACAGGAGCGATAGTGCGCTCTCCGACTCAGCCACTTCCGCACAATCTCATTGTGATGAACAAGAACAGAGACGCTAGAATTTCCAGAACAAAAAGGCGAGAAGAATGTACAGTGCGGGCTCAGCCAAAGGCGGCAGAAAGGCTGTTGCTGGTGAGCGACTCCCGTCGGATGGCAGGCATCAGCGCGCGTCCCTGCGCATCGTAGGGCGGGTAGAGCTGTGTCGGAACGCTGCTGGTCTGTGCTCTTGCGAGCGTGTGCGGAGCAAGGAAGCTGGTGAGACGAAGGGCGCTTTCCGCAGGTGCAGGAGCAAATCTGTTGGAGTGCATTGCCAGTGCAAGCGAACCGCTTTCTTCTGTGGCAAAAGAAAAGCAACGGGAAAAACGATCAGACCGCTGCGTATGGGGGCAAGATTTTGCGGAAAGCGTCAGTCACTTACCTGCGGAGTCTGCCTTCTGAGGACCCTTGGGGAGCGCTTTGACCTTCCTTGAGGCAGCCGCCTGGAGTGTCGGGCTGAGAAGCGCCTCGTGTGACGCCTGGAATGGATCGTACTGCAATAGCGAGATGTTGCTGCCAAAGGAGCTGAAGCTCGTGTCCGCCGTCGAGCACATGCTGAGCTCGGGGGTCGATTCGTGCTCGGACTGAATATCGCTGTCTACCGAAGGCGTCTTGCTGATTCTGCGCGTGGCTCTCTTCGGCCTCGAAGTTGTCGTTGTCTTGCGAACCGGAGTGCGGTTGGCTGCCGTAGTGACTGTGCGTGGTTGTCCGGCCTTGAGGGGCTTCTTGCTGTTGGCGACGATGTCGTACACCCAGTCGCCGACCTTCTCCTTGAAGCCGTACTTGAGCCAGCTGATCATGCTCGTCCAGTCGTCCTCGAACTCTTTCTTGTCCGCGTCGGTGAGCCGTCCGAGATTGTCGCGAAGCACGTCGTCCACGCTGTGGACAAGGATGGCGGGAGATCGTTCGTGAGGGGAGCCCATGTTGCAGGCGTCCATCTTGGTCTGCATCAGCAGACTCATGCGTTGGCGATCGTTGCGGGCAAACTTGCGTAGGATGCTGGACCAGCCAGAGCGTCGGCGCGCGTTGATGAACCAGAGCGTCAGCTGGTTGATTTGCAGATTGTTGCCTCGCTCCTCGGACTTCTTGCGCTGAGCGGGTGAGGCGTTGGTGGCTTCGACGAGAGACTCCTTGTCTTTTTGCGAGGGATAGGGATTGTCGAGATGCTCGAGGAAGTGCTTGCGCATATTGTACGATGGCATAGTCTCGCAGAGGTCCGAGCTCTTGGCTCGATCTGAGCTATTGCTCTCGTTCCTTGCGATGCGAGTAGCATCTTCCTTCAACTCGGAATCGAGCCGAAGGTATACTTCTTCAAGCCTGAGTTTTACGCCTGAAATGACCTGGATCCTCTGAATAGCATGGTGAAGCTGTGATGCTGAAGTCTTGTCCAGAAGCCCAAGCTCTCTGCTCTTGCTGATCTCTTCCGGCAGTCGCGCCAGTTTAGCGGCTGTGGGAGCGATTTTCCCATCTTGAGCCAGAAGGTCCCTTTCTATCTCGAGAAGGGCTTCAAGGAGCTCTGGACACGATAGAGCAGTGGGCCCGGACATCATTCAGATGGTGGAAGTACAGGAAGACGAGTGAAGACGTAGTTGTGTGGCAAGGGCAGTCGAGCCGAAAATCGAATGGAGTAGCGGGAAATTCGCGCGTCTGGACATCACGCCCACGCAGCACGAATCCGAGCGCCTGCCATTTATCAAGCGCAAGGTCCCTCCGTGCCCTTTTTCCTCTTACCACACCAACATCGAGGCTTCAAAGATCCAGAATGCACATCACAAAAGTACTCGTGCAGGTTCAAGAGCTGGTGACTCAACTAGAAGAGGGATTGCCGAAAGCCTCTACGCCAGCCGTACAGCCAGTGACACACGCACCCGAGACTCCACTCGACCTGCTGGCACCTAGCGACGAAGAATGTCTCGCGAGCCTTTCAACATACAGTCTGACACATGAATGTAAGGCAGCGATCATTCGCTTCTATCAAGACCACGTCTTCGACCTCCAAAGGGTCTATCAAGAGAAATACCTCGACGTGATTGCCAATCTTCAGCAGATAGGACAAAACGACAGAGGCTTTTTCAAAGCTTTTCGCTTCTCTCTACAGCGTCGATATACCCTTCATTGCGAGAGATTGTGGGAGATCGGTCTCAGTGAGGCGAGGGCGTACTGTCACCAATATCCAACGAGCTTTTCTCATGGAGAAGTTTCAACGGACGCGTTACGATTGGAGGAAAGCAAGGGGAATCGAGGACACGACTCCGACGCGGTGCGCATCCTGGAGCAAGCCTTCCAGCACACGCCCAACATCACGCAAGCGGAAAAGTATCGACTGGCTGAAGTCACCGGCCTCCAGCCCAAGCAAGTGACCATCTGGGTGAGTTTCTTCTTTCCTATCGACGCGTCTCGATATTTCGCGCCATCGCGGCACACGCGCACCCGATCCAATGGCGATGAAGGACATGCCATTCTGTAGAGGATCGCCAGGGTGATCACAGAATGCGATCACGCTGGCATGACTTGCAACACAAAGCTGAGCCACGGCAAAGACGCCAGCAGCAGCACAATCGATGCGCCCCAGAACGAGTGCGAGCTGACCATTCCGAAATTTCCCTTTGTTCTGCTTTCCCTTTGTTCCAGTTCCAGAACCGGCGCAACCGCAAGGGGAGGAAAGGCGCCAAGGCAGCCAAAAACTCCCACGCTCGAGTCACCGCACGGGCCCAATCGCCCAGCGACAGCTTCTCCCCTCCGCGAGACTTCACGCTCAACGGAAAGAAGCGCAAGTCGTACGGCGCGCTGGGCGTCGCGTCTTCGTCCAGCTCGGACTCGGACAGCGATGAAGGTTTTCTCAAGAAGCCGCGTCTCCCACGCGCACACTCTGGTTTGAGTGACGCATCGACCTCATCAAGCGCACACACCGCGTCGTTCACCGCATGGAGCTCGCCATCGTCGCGATCGACGTCGTCGTCATCGGTATCCAGCAGCCCGAGCGACTGCTTCGACAGCCCGGGCAAGGCGCACAATGTGTTTAGGCTGCTGAACCCGCTCAAGTACGACGCGCGCGCCAAGCAGGACATGCCCGCCGTCACCATGGCGACGCCATCGCTCGTGCCGTACCACAGCGCCGAGGACCGATCGCCCTTCAGCAGTGATGCGATGAACGGCGGAATGTATGGCGGCGCACAGAGGCTGCAATTTGCCCGCGAGGCGATGCAGCACGAGGTCGACTTTGGCGGACTGCAGTTCGATGCCGATGCGATGGGCAAGGATCTGTGCGAGAGCGTGCAGAGGGTCCTCGAGATGAACTTTAGCTCGTTCGCGGACAGGAGCATGTCCGACAGCTCGTGGGGTTCGACTATGCAGAGCGCGACGGATGACGACGGATGGGTGGACGAGGACGAGCCCGGCGCCAGCACTACTCCCGTGCCGATCAGCGCAAGCAACCACGTGCTAACCCAGCAACCGGATGCACACGTGCTCTCCCAGCCCACTCAGGGCGCTATGCAGCTCGGCCATGTTGCATTCACATCGGCACCGGTCCACTCAGCAGCTGAAAGTACAGCTCCCTGGGCAAATCCGGCTGGTTTTGCGTCCAATGGCAACGGGAGCAGCGACAGCGCACTCTCGAACGGCGAACCCATCGACCTGCACAACTTCTCCGAAGTCGGCGCGCACGCTCCCGTACCTTCTGCGTATGCCTCGTACCAGCAAACCTCGCCGCAGCAACCAGTTCCGGCTGCCAGCACGACGCCCGTCGCCAACACATACGCGTTCCTCGATTTCGAAGTCGAGATGGCGGACCTAGACGACTTGCTCAGCTCGTTCGTCCAGCCTGCTGTTACTGCTCCTGCTACCAACGCCGAGATCGGAGCTGGAGCGCAGGTGGCGCAGCAGCAACCCGCCGAGTTCTACCTCAACTTTGATCTCTCGCCGGACATGTTCCGCGCGGCATAGGCTGGTCCGTCTGCTCGCAAGTCCTCAGTTCCGCTCTGTTCGTCGACCTTCCGTTCTCGTTCCCGGTCCAGTGCCGTGTCGTAGTTTCCCTAGCGTTCCGCCTCGTGCTCAGTCTCGCTTTGTTCGTTTGTTTCGTCGCTCGCAATGTCCACGATACCTTTTCCCGAACCACAGTCTGCGCGCAACGGGGGGCATAAAATGTTTTTGCGATGAAAGTGAGGTTAGAGAAGGGGCTGGTGACCGTTTGCCTCTTCCTCTACTGGCGCGGTGGCCCACGCCTGCTGGGCGACCTTGGTGCACTTCTGACGTTCTTCCAGCTGGAACGCGGACATGAAGGCGTTTGCGAGGGGGAACGTCTTCTGCGCCTCGGCGTCGAAGTCTGCGGTGCTGTTGGGAGCAATTGTCGCGAGCAGATCTCTAGCCACGGTGGTGGTCTTGAGTGCACGGTTGAGTGCACGTGGCTGCGTGGCTGGTTGGATGGTTTTGGGTAGGGAGAGGAGGATCTGGACTGCTTCGTCTGTGCGTTCGAGCGCGAGCGCGGCACGTGCATTACCCAACACCTGTTCCGGCGTTGACCTCCCCTCCTGCAGTGCTTCCGTAAACACAACCGACGCCGGCTTGTCCGCCGGAACAATCGTCGAAAGGGCAGTGGCAATCACAGTTCCAATCGGCTTGGGCGCAGCAGCAAGGTCCGGCAAGCGCGTCTTGAGACGCACCACCATGTGCACGAGCTCGGGATGGGCGGGGTGCAGCTTGTGCAGCGCCACCAACGCGCGTGTCGCCAGCAACCAGTTCTTCTGTCGAAGCGCAATCTCAAACGCCCCCATCCAGGTCTCTTCGCTTTGAGACGCATTGGCCTGCAAGAAGCGCAGCCACTTGGCTGCCTGTTCCAACGGTGCCTCGTGCACGCTCTTAAACAGCTCCAACCCCTTGGGATCCGGATCGGGCTTAGGTCCATCGTCGTCGACCGCCTCGCCATTCGCCGCGGCTTCTTCGGCCTTCTTCTTCTTGTCCGCCGCTTCCTGCTCCGCCTTGGCCGCGCGCTTGGCTTCCGCCTGCCTCGCCTTCTTGATCGCCTTCTTCTTCTCGGCCTCGCTGAGCCCCGCGAGCGCAGGGTCCTCCTCGTCCGTCTTGGTCTCGACAAACGCCGGTGTATCCGGCTTGTCGTACAGCGTCGTGTAGATGCCCAGCGCCACCGAGGCCGCACGAACGAACGCCGGATGCGAGCGCAGACCGTCCTCAAAGCGAACCAGGTTGACGTAGGAGCGCAGCGTCATCTTGCGCATGCAGTACGAGTGGAAGTCGAGCTGGTCGTCCCAGAATTCCTGGAACGTGCGTTCGAGCTGGCCCAGCCGCTTGAGCGCCATAGCGAGATTGCCTGTGCGCAGGAAGCCCTCAGCTTCTTCGGCGAGATACCACAGCGCCTGCATCTCGTTGAGGTCGTACGTGGGACTGGGCGCATCGGGCTTAGTGAAGAGGCCAACGATGCGCTCGGCCTCGACGGTGTCGTTGGTGCGCAGCAGGTACTTGGCCGCCTTGGAGTTGAGGAAGCGGTCCTGGCCGTCGAGCAGGCGTGCGTCGGTCATGGCGGCCGAGGCACCGAGCAGGTCGCCGGCGCGCTTGAGCACGCGTGCGCGCACCATGTGCAGCTCGGGCAGCGTCGACGAGTGCGCGATGGCGGAGTCGATGTAGTGCAGCGCGCGCGCCGAGTCGCCCGTGAGCGAGTAGTGCTGCGCGAGGTAGTAGAGCGCCCACAGATAGGATGTCGGCGGGTCGGTGCCGTCGGCGGGCGCGCTCGAC